TATTTCTGGTTGCTAAGTTTATACGGTTGTGTTTTCTATATTCGTTTATGGTTAAGGGTTATTTTTCAGAAACATGTACGCCTTTAAGTATAAATTGCTCAACTGCACTATACGTTTTCCATTTATTTGTGTACAATTGGTTTTGGGCGATACATTTTCGTTTCTACATGCTTTCAAATACTTTTGTTGTCATGTTTGTCTGGTTAAAACTTAACAAACTGGTGCGATTGAGAAGTGCGCAAATGAATGTAGATAGCCCCAGGTTTACTGTATGACAAATCAACCAAGTCGAGTTGATTGGAGCTATTTAAATTCCTAGCTGACTTTGCATTCTTGGTTTCTGCTTAATTGATTTCTGTATTCCTTACTTTATTTTAATTTATTTCTCATCAGGGCTTGTATTTTATAATAGTGCAGAATCGGGGTCTGGGAATTGGTTCAAAAATTGTTCGCGAAAACTTTAATATTTAATTTAAGAACAAATTTTTTTTCTTTTATTGGCAACGTCTATTAAATAGAAAATTGCTTTATGAATTTGTATCCTCTGGCCAACTTATAGATACTGTAAAGAGACAATAAAATAATTCTTGCCTACTGAGTGGGCAATAATTTAGATACTAATGGGATACATTCGTGTTTCTTTTTAAAAACAATTAAATTCGCTCAATTGTTATTTTGCATTTAGGTTGAAGTGTATTGTAATGTTAACGTTTTCTAATATTTAAAACTTTAAATTGACAATTAACCAATTTCTGTATAATACAATATTGTTTCATATCGAAATGACGATTTGTTCACATGCAATAATATTGTTCCTTTATTGATTCGTTACTACCTTTATTAATAAGTGTTATTCGATTGTAGGTAAGTTTTGCATTTTTAACGTTGAATACATGCCATATCGGATTGGCCTAACAAAAACAGTAACAAATACCATGGTAGTAGCATGTTTCATTGCACGTTAAATACATAGAGTGGTACTTAATCTGGTCAAAATTTGCCGTTTCTGAAGTAACAACGTTTCGTAAACGTATTTCAATATTGATTCTGTGGGTAGTTTTCTATTCAGCTTCCGGAATTCTCTAAACAAACGAGGTATTCGAACAGAAAATTTTAAATAATTTGCGGGTGTTTATTATCGACTTATCACGTAACCTAGAATTACAAGTATGGACAGGTAATAGGGTTTTAGACTAGCAGTCGGCGACATTTGTATATAAAACCGCATTTGTTCTTTGTTGTAAATCTAAAATTCTTATTACCGCATTATTGTTAGGTCGTTTGCAAATCCTTTGACAGAAATAAATAAAATAAATCCTAATAATTTTCTAACTTAATATACTTCTAAGCTATTGCGATAAAGATGGGAAATCAAAGCATACGAAACAGTACTAAAACAAATAGCTAGGCACTGAAAGTGAACAATTTCGAGTTTGTAAAAAAGTGAGCAGCACTTTGGAAATATTACATACCTGCGTGTATATTTAAGTTCGCACGCAAACATTAGCTACAAGTATTTGAAAATGTAAATTAATATTTCTACAATTTATTAAATAATGCCACTAAAATAAATGAGCATATTGATATACAATAAAAAGTCTTTAAGTTAACTGCGGGTCGAAAGCTAACATTTTTGAAAAATGTGTGTTCGGTAATAACTAATAATAATGAATAATACCTTCAGTGCGCCGAAGGTTCATATCAAACAAAATGAATCCATTTTTTAAATTTAAAAATAAATACAAATAATTTAATAATTTTAAACTTAAAAGCAAGCAGTGCGCAGTTTAGCGTTAGTGTATTTTAAAGAAGAAAAGTAATCGATAGTGGTGAACTCATCGATACATCGATACGCTTGCTGACTTACGTTTGTTTACCTTTCCTTACGTTTTTTAAAACAACAAAAAAAAACAAATGGTAAGATTCGCGAATGTTGCTTCGGATTAATATTAATAGTTGTGCAAATTGTCAGGGCAAAAAGCGAGCATGGCCATGGCCAAGACGGGCTCGGCAGAGACGGCCTGCTTCCCCTCTTCGCAAAACTGCAGCGGCGCGAGCCCACAAAGGTCCCCAACACGCGAGCTGGCGGTGTAAACCTACAAGTTCATCAAGGAGCTGGGCCGCCTTATGGAGCTGAAGACTATTCTGGTTCTTGGTGGCGACTCCAGGGACTCCAGGCCGTTTTCTCCACTTGTGTGTGGAAATGGACTTAGAGCTGAATTTCGAAGGTGAGGTTGCCATTCCTAGAGATAAAACCAGGTTCTAATGTTTTTCGTTTCACAAACTTTGTAGTGTTCTTTGAAACGGGCTCCGGCGAGCAGCTTAACGAAACGCTGCACAGATTGCCGACTTCCCGTCAGATGGCCATGTTTTTGGCCACTCTGCCAAAGCTTTTGGTGGAATCTGCCCGCGCAGGCCTGATCGACCCAGGCCTAACTCGCTTGGACGTCGAGTCCATACTTTCGGACGGACACGCTCTAAAGTTTATTTGCTGCCGACCGGACGACCGCTACACAGGTCTCGTGGTTCTTCATAAGTACGTTATTCCTGTGGAGACGCAGACCGTGGTGTTGTCAGCGAAAACGCTTACAAAAAATACCTGAAATGATCTCAGTAAGATCCCAGTTAGCATCAACTGATGCCAACGCGCGTGATTTATTAGTCGGCGGACGAGCACACAAAGGATGGGCCTGCCATTAACACCTTTGAGCGTCAGGCGAAGAATGCCGACATGAAACACAAGCCTGGGCAAAGTGCAGGACTAAGTCGGGCTAAGTCCGGTGCATGGACTCCAGAATGAAGGAGTAGTGAAAATGCAGATAGTGATAATGACAATGTTAAGCCTCAGTCGCGAGTGGAATTAATTAAAAAGTGCAGCGAGGACCACGCCGAACGAAAAACGATGGGCGCATGCGTAGCGTGCTGAAGACTCATCGTCAAAAAACTCAAGAGGTATGACATTTATCTTATTCCTATGATTAAGCTTTTTATATGAGTTTTGAAAGGCATTTGGCCAGGCACATTGCAAAGCTTTTTGCCAGACTTTTTCTAGGCTTATTGCCTTTTATTGATTTTTGCCTGGCTTGTTGCTACTTTTGAAAAGGGCTTCATCCTGAAATAAATACTCATATATTATAAAAACAGGATAGGTAGCTGTATGGAAACAGGCAGACAGACGTCACTATATCAACTCGGCTAGTGATACTGATTAAAAGTAAATCAGGTACGTAAGTACCATGTTCATATGAATAAACATGTGTACTTCCCAAAACTGGTTATAAATTATACTCATCAAATGAAGACATTAACAATATGGATAAATATATATTTATTTATTTGGCATATGGAGCATATTTCTGGTTGCTAAGTTTATACGGTTGTGTTTTCTATATTCGTTTATGGTTAAGGGTTATTTTTCAGAAACATGTACGCCTTTAAGTATAAATTGCTCAACTGCACTATACGTTTTCCATTTATTTGTGTACAATTGGTTTTGGGCGATACATTTTCGTTTCTACATGCTTTCAAATACTTTTGTTGTCATGTTTGTCTGGTTAAAACTTAACAAACTGGTGCGATTGAGAAGTGCGCAAATGAATGTAGATAGCCCCAGGTTTACTGTATGACAAATCAACCAAGTCGAGTTGATTGGAGCTATTTAAATTCCTAGCTGACTTTGCATTCTTGGTTTCTGCTTAATTGATTTCTGTATTCCTTACTTTATTTTAATTTATTTCTCATCAGGGCTTGTATTTTATAATAGTGCAGAATCGGGGTCTGGGAATTGGTTCAAAAATTGTTCGCGAAAACTTTAATATTTAATTTAAGAACAAATTTTTTTTCTTTTATTGGCAACGTCTATTAAATAGAAAATTGCTTTATGAATTTGTATCCTCTGGCCAACTTATAGATACTGTAAAGAGACAATAAAATAATTCTTGCCTACTGAGTGGGCAATAATTTAGATACTAATGGGATACATTCGTGTTTCTTTTTAAAAACAATTAAATTCGCTCAATTGTTATTTTGCATTTAGGTTGAAGTGTATTGTAATGTTAACGTTTTCTAATATTTAAAACTTTAAATTGACAATTAACCAATTTCTGTATAATACAATATTGTTTCATATCGAAATGACGATTTGTTCACATGCAATAATATTGTTCCTTTATTGATTCGTTACTACCTTTATTAATAAGTGTTATTCGATTGTAGGTAAGTTTTGCATTTTTAACGTTGAATACATGCCATATCGGATTGGCCTAACAAAAACAGTAACAAATACCATGGTAGTAGCATGTTTCATTGCACGTTAAATACATAGAGTGGTACTTAATCTGGTCAAAATTTGCCGTTTCTGAAGTAACAACGTTTCGTAAACGTATTTCAATATTGATTCTGTGGGTAGTTTTCTATTCAGCTTCCGGAATTCTCTAAACAAACGAGGTATTCGAACAGAAAATTTTAAATAATTTGCGGGTGTTTATTATCGACTTATCACGTAACCTAGAATTACAAGTATGGACAGGTAATAGGGTTTTAGACTAGCAGTCGGCGACATTTGTATATAAAACCGCATTTGTTCTTTGTTGTAAATCTAAAATTCTTATTACCGCATTATTGTTAGGTCGTTTGCAAATCCTTTGACAGAAATAAATAAAATAAATCCTAATAATTTTCTAACTTAATATACTTCTAAGCTATTGCGATAAAGATGGGAAATCAAAGCATACGAAACAGTACTAAAACAAATAGCTAGGCACTGAAAGTGAACAATTTCGAGTTTGTAAAAAAGTGAGCAGCACTTTGGAAATATTACATACCTGCGTGTATATTTAAGTTCGCACGCAAACATTAGCTACAAGTATTTGAAAATGTAAATTAATATTTCTACAATTTATTAAATAATGCCACTAAAATAAATGAGCATATTGATATACAATAAAAAGTCTTTAAGTTAACTGCGGGTCGAAAGCTAACATTTTTGAAAAATGTGTGTTCGGTAATAACTAATAATAATGAATAATACCTTCAGTGCGCCGAAGGTTCATATCAAACAAAATGAATCCATTTTTTAAATTTAAAAATAAATACAAATAATTTAATAATTTTAAACTTAAAAGCAAGCAGTGCGCAGTTTAGCGTTAGTGTATTTTAAAGAAGAAAAGTAATCGATAGTGGTGAACTCATCGATACATCGATACGCTTGCTGACTTACGTTTGTTTACCTTTCCTTACGTTTTTTAAAACAACAAAAAAAAACAAATGGTAAGATTCGCGAATGTTGCTTCGGATTAATATTAATAGTTGTGCAAATTGTCAGGGCAAAAAGCGAGCATGGCCATGGCCAAGACGGGCTCGGCAGAGACGGCCTGCTTCCCCTCTTCGCAAAACTGCAGCGGCGCGAGCCCACAAAGGTCCCCAACACGCGAGCTGGCGGTGTAAACCTACAAGTTCATCAAGGAGCTGGGCCGCCTTATGGAGCTGAAGACTATTCTGGTTCTTGGTGGCGACTCCAGGGACTCCAGGCCGTTTTCTCCACTTGTGTGTGGAAATGGACTTAGAGCTGAATTTCGAAGGTGAGGTTGCCATTCCTAGAGATAAAACCAGGTTCTAATGTTTTTCGTTTCACAAACTTTGTAGTGTTCTTTGAAACGGGCTCCGGCGAGCAGCTTAACGAAACGCTGCACAGATTGCCGACTTCCCGTCAGATGGCCATGTTTTTGGCCACTCTGCCAAAGCTTTTGGTGGAATCTGCCCGCGCAGGCCTGATCGACCCAGGCCTAACTCGCTTGGACGTCGAGTCCATACTTTCGGACGGACACGCTCTAAAGTTTATTTGCTGCCGACCGGACGACCGCTACACAGGTCTCGTGGTTCTTCATAAGTACGTTATTCCTGTGGAGACGCAGACCGTGGTGTTGTCAGCGAAAACGCTTACAAAAAATACCTGAAATGATCTCAGTAAGATCCCAGTTAGCATCAACTGATGCCAACGCGCGTGATTTATTAGTCGGCGGACGAGCACACAAAGGATGGGCCTGCCATTAACACCTTTGAGCGTCAGGCGAAGAATGCCGACATGAAACACAAGCCTGGGCAAAGTGCAGGACTAAGTCGGGCTAAGTCCGGTGCATGGACTCCAGAATGAAGGAGTAGTGAAAATGCAGATAGTGATAATGACAATGTTAAGCCTCAGTCGCGAGTGGAATTAATTAAAAAGTGCAGCGAGGACCACGCCGAACGAAAAACGATGGGCGCATGCGTAGCGTGCTGAAGACTCATCGTCAAAAAACTCAAGAGGTATGACATTTATCTTATTCCTATGATTAAGCTTTTTATATGAGTTTTGAAAGGCATTTGGCCAGGCACATTGCAAAGCTTTTTGCCAGACTTTTTCTAGGCTTATTGCCTTTTATTGATTTTTGCCTGGCTTGTTGCTACTTTTGAAAAGGGCTTCATCCTGAAATAAATACTCATATATTATAAAAACAGGATAGGTAGCTGTATGGAAACAGGCAGACAGACGTCACTATATCAACTCGGCTAGTGATACTGATTAAAAGTAAATCAGGTACGTAAGTACCATGTTCATATGAATAAACATGTGTACTTCCCAAAACTGGTTATAAATTATACTCATCAAATGAAGACATTAACAATATGGATAAATATATATTTATTTATTTGGCATATGGAGCATATTTCTGGTTGCTAAGTTTATACGGTTGTGTTTTCTATATTCGTTTATGGTTAAGGGTTATTTTTCAGAAACATGTACGCCTTTAAGTATAAATTGCTCAACTGCACTATACGTTTTCCATTTATTTGTGTACAATTGGTTTTGGGCGATACATTTTCGTTTCTACATGCTTTCAAATACTTTTGTTGTCATGTTTGTCTGGTTAAAACTTAACAAACTGGTGCGATTGAGAAGTGCGCAAATGAATGTAGATAGCCCCAGGTTTACTGTATGACAAATCAACCAAGTCGAGTTGATTGGAGCTATTTAAATTCCTAGCTGACTTTGCATTCTTGGTTTCTGCTTAATTGATTTCTGTATTCCTTACTTTATTTTAATTTATTTCTCATCAGGGCTTGTATTTTATAATAGTGCAGAATCGGGGTCTGGGAATTGGTTCAAAAATTGTTCATGAAAACTTTAATATTTAATTTAAGAACAAATTTTTTTTCTTTTATTGGCAACGTCTATTAAATAGAAAATTGCTTTATGAATTTGTATCCTCTGGCCAACTTATAGATACTGTAAAGAGACAATAAAATAATTCTTGCCTACTGAGTGGGCAATAATTTAGATACTAATGGGATACATTCGTGTTTCTTTTTAAAAACAATTAAATTCGCTCAATTGTTATTTTGCATTTAGGTTGAAGTGTATTGTAATGTTAACGTTTTCTAATATTTAAAACTTTAAATTGACAATTAACCAATTTCTGTATAATACAATATTGTTTCATATCGAAATGACGATTTGTTCACATGCAATAATATTGTTCCTTTATTGATTCGTTACTACCTTTATTAATAAGTGTTATTCGATTGTAGGTAAGTTTTGCATTTTTAACGTTGAATACATGCCATATCGGATTGGCCTAACAAAAACAGTAACAAATACCATGGTAGTAGCATGTTTCATTGCACGTTAAATACATAGAGTGGTACTTAATCTGGTCAAAATTTGCCGTTTCTGAAGTAACAACGTTTCGTAAACGTATTTCAATATTGATTCTGTGGGTAGTTTTCTATTCAGCTTCCGGAATTCTCTAAACAAACGAGGTATTCGAACAGAAAATTTTAAATAATTTGCGGGTGTTTATTATCGACTTATCACGTAACCTAGAATTACAAGTATGGACAGGTAATAGGGTTTTAGACTAGCAGTCGGCGACATTTGTATATAAAACCGCATTTGTTCTTTGTTGTAAATCTAAAATTCTTATTACCGCATTATTGTTAGGTCGTTTGCAAATCCTTTGACAGAAATAAATAAAATAAATCCTAATAATTTTCTAACTTAATATACTTCTAAGCTATTGCGATAAAGATGGGAAATCAAAGCATACGAAACAGTACTAAAACAAATAGCTAGGCACTGAAAGTGAACAATTTCGAGTTTGTAAAAAAGTGAGCAGCACTTTGGAAATATTACATACCTGCGTGTATATTTAAGTTCGCACGCAAACATTAGCTACAAGTATTTGAAAATGTAAATTAATATTTCTACAATTTATTAAATAATGCCACTAAAATAAATGAGCATATTGATATACAATAAAAAGTCTTTAAGTTAACTGCGGGTCGAAAGCTAACATTTTTGAAAAATGTGTGTTCGGTAATAACTAATAATAATGAATAATACCTTCAGTGCGCCGAAGGTTCATATCAAACAAAATGAATCCATTTTTTAAATTTAAAAATAAATACAAATAATTTAATAATTTTAAACTTAAAAGCAAGCAGTGCGCAGTTTAGCGTTAGTGTATTTTAAAGAAGAAAAGTAATCGATAGTGGTGAACTCATCGATACATCGATACGCTTGCTGACTTACGTTTGTTTACCTTTCCTTACGTTTTTTAAAACAACAAAAAAAACAAATGGTAAGATTCGCGAATGTTGCTTCGGATTAATATTAATAGTTGTGCAAATTGTCAGGGCAAAAAGCGAGCATGGCCATGGCCAAGACGGGCTCGGCAGAGACGGCCTGCTTCCCCTCTTCGCAAAACTGCAGCGGCGCGAGCCCACAAAGGTCCCCAACACGCGAGCTGGCGGTGTAAACCTACAAGTTCATCAAGGAGCTGGGCCGCCTTATGGAGCTGAAGACTATTCTGGTTCTTGGTGGCGACTCCAGGGACTCCAGGCCGTTTTCTCCACTTGTGTGTGGAAATGGACTTAGAGCTGAATTTCGAAGGTGAGGTTGCCATTCCTAGAGATAAAACCAGGTTCTAATGTTTTTCGTTTCACAAACTTTGTAGTGTTCTTTGAAACGGGCTCCGGCGAGCAGCTTAACGAAACGCTGCACAGATTGCCGACTTCCCGTCAGATGGCCATGTTTTTGGCCACTCTGCCAAAGCTTTTGGTGGAATCTGCCCGCGCAGGCCTGATCGACCCAGGCCTAACTCGCTTGGACGTCGAGTCCATACTTTCGGACGGACACGCTCTAAAGTTTATTTGCTGCCGACCGGACGACCGCTACACAGGTCTCGTGGTTCTTCATAAGTACGTTATTCCTGTGGAGACGCAGACCGTGGTGTTGTCAGCGAAAACGCTTACAAAAAATACCTGAAATGATCTCAGTAAGATCCCAGTTAGCATCAACTGATGCCAACGCGCGTGATTTATTAGTCGGCGGACGAGCACACAAAGGATGGGCCTGCCATTAACACCTTTGAGCGTCAGGCGAAGAATGCCGACATGAAACACAAGCCTGGGCAAAGTGCAGGACTAAGTCGGGCTAAGTCCGGTGCATGGACTCCAGAATGAAGGAGTAGTGAAAATGCAGATAGTGATAATGACAATGTTAAGCCTCAGTCGCGAGTGGAATTAATTAAAAAGTGCAGCGAGGACCACGCCGAACGAAAAACGATGGGCGCATGCGTAGCGTGCTGAAGACTCATCGTCAAAAAACTCAAGAGGTATGACATTTATCTTATTCCTATGATTAAGCTTTTTATATGAGTTTTGAAAGGCATTTGGCCAGGCACATTGCAAAGCTTTTTGCCAGACTTTTTCTAGGCTTATTGCCTTTTATTGATTTTTGCCTGGCTTGTTGCTACTTTTGAAAAGGGCTTCATCCTGAAATAAATACTCATATATTATAAAAACAGGATAGGTAGCTGTATGGAAACAGGCAGACAGACGTCACTATATCAACTCGGCTAGTGATACTGATTAAAAGTAAATCAGGTACGTAAGTACCATGTTCATATGAATAAACATGTGTACTTCCCAAAACTGGTTATAAATTATACTCATCAAATGAAGACATTAACAATATGGATAAATATATATTTATTTATTTGGCATATGGAGCATATTTCTGGTTGCTAAGTTTATACGGTTGTGTTTTCTATATTCGTTTATGGTTAAGGGTTATTTTTCAGAAACATGTACGCCTTTAAGTATAAATTGCTCAACTGCACTATACGTTTTCCATTTATTTGTGTACAATTGGTTTTGGGCGATACATTTTCGTTTCTACATGCTTTCAAATACTTTTGTTGTCATGTTTGTCTGGTTAAAACTTAACAAACTGGTGCGATTGAGAAGTGCGCAAATGAATGTAGATAGCCCCAGGTTTACTGTATGACAAATCAACCAAGTCGAGTTGATTGGAGCTATTTAAATTCCTAGCTGACTTTGCATTCTTGGTTTCTGCTTTATTGATTTCTGTATTCCTTACTTTATTTTAATTTATTTCTCATCAGGGCTTGTATTTTATAATAGTGCAGAATCGGGGTCTGGGAATTGGTTCAAAAATTGTTCGCGAAAACTTTAATATTTAATTTAAGAACAAATTTTTTTTCTTTTATTGGCAACGTCTATTAAATAGAAAATTGCTTTATGAATTTGTATCCTCTGGCCAACTTATAGATACTGTAAAGAGACAATAAAATAATTCTTGCCTACTGAGTGGGCAATAATTTAGATACTAATGGGATACATTCGTGTTTCTTTTTAGAAACAATTAAATTCGCTCAATTGTTATTTTGCATTTAGGTTGAAGTGTATTGTAATGTTAACGTTTTCTAATATTTAAAACTTTAAATTGACAATTAACCAATTTCTGTATAATACAATATTGTTTCATATCGAAATGACGATTTGTTCACATGCAATAATATTGTTCCTTTATTGATTCGTTACTACCTTTATTAATAAGTGTTATTCGATTGTAGGTAAGTTTTGCATTTTTAACGTTGAATACATGCCATATCGGATTGGCCTAACAAAAACAGTAACAAATACCATGGTAGTAGCATGTTTCATTGCACGTTAAATACATAGAGTGGTACTTAATCTGGTCAAAATTTGCCGTTTCTGAAGTAACAACGTTTCGTAAACGTATTTCAATATTGATTCTGTGGGTAGTTTTCTATTCAGCTTCCGGAATTCTCTAAACAAACGAGGTATTCGAACAGAAAATTTTAAATAATTTGCGGGTGTTTATTATCGACTTATCACGTAACCTAGAATTACAAGTATGGACAGGTAATAGGGTTTTAGACTAGCAGTCGGCGACATTTGTATATAAAACCGCATTTGTTCTTTGTTGTAAATCTAAAATTCTTATTACCGCATTATTGTTAGGTCGTTTGCAAATCCTTTGACAGAAATAAATAAAATAAATCCTAATAATTTTCTAACTTAATATACTTCTAAGCTATTGCGATAAAGATGGGAAATCAAAGCATACGAAACAGTACTAAAACAAATAGCTAGGCACTGAAAGTGAACAATTTCGAGTTTGTAAAAAAGTGAGCAGCACTTTGGAAATATTACATACCTGCGTGTATATTTAAGTTCGCACGCAAACATTAGCTACAAGTATTTGAAAATGTAAATTAATATTTCTACAATTTATTAAATAATGCCACTAAAATAAATGAGCATATTGATATACAATAAAAAGTCTTTAAGTTAAATGCGGGTCGAAAGCTAACATTTTAGAAAAATGTGTGTTCGGTAATAACTAATAATAATGAATAATACCTTCAGTGCGCCGAAGGTTCATATCAAACAAAATGAATCCATTTTTTAAATTTAAAAATAAATACAAATAATTTAATAATTTTAAACTTAAAAGCAAGCAGTGCGCAGTTTAGCGTTAGTGTATTTTAAAGAAGAAAAGTAATCGATAGTGGTGAACTCATCGATACATCGATACGCTTGCTGACTTACGTTTGTTTACCTTTCCTTACGTTTTTTAAAACAACAAAAAAAAACAAATGGTAAGATTCGCGAATGTTGCTTCGGATTAATATTAATAGTTGTGCAAATTGTCAGGGCAAAAAGCGAGCATGGCCATGGCCAAGACGGGCTCGGCAGAGACGGCCTGCTTCCCCTCTTCGCAAAACTGCAGCGGCGCGAGCCCACAAAGGTCCCCAACACGCGAGCTGGCGGTGTAAACCTACAAGTTCATCAAGGAGCTGGGCCGCCTTATGGAGCTGAAGACTATTCTGGTTCTTGGTGGCGACTCCAGGGACTCCAGGCCGTTTTCTCCACTTGTGTGTGGAAATGGACTTAGAGCTGAATTTCGAAGGTGAGGTTGCCATTCCTAGAGATAAAACCAGGTTCTAATGTTTTTCGTTTCACAAACTTTGTAGTGTTCTTTGAAACGGGCTCCGGCGAGCAGCTTAACGAAACGCTGCACAGATTGCCGACTTCCCGTCAGATGGCCATGTTTTTGGCCACTCTGCCAAAGCTTTTGGTGGAATCTGCCCGCGCAGGCCTGATCGACCCAGGCCTAACTCGCTTGGACGTCGAGTCCATACTTTCGGACGGACACGCTCTAAAGTTTATTTGCTGCCGACCGGACGACCGCTACACAGGTCTCGTGGTTCTTCATAAGTACGTTATTCCTGTGGAGACGCAGACCGTGGTGTTGTCAGCGAAAACGCTTACAAAAAATACCTGAAATGATCTCAGTAAGATCCCAGTTAGCATCAACTGATGCCAACGCGCGTGATTTATTAGTCGGCGGACGAGCACACAAAGGATGGGCCTGCCATTAACACCTTTGAGCGTCAGGCGAAGAATGCCGACATGAAACACAAGCCTGGGCAAAGTGCAGGACTAAGTCGGGCTAAGTCCGGTGCATGGACTCCAGAATGAAGGAGTAGTGAAAATGCAGATAGTGATAATGACAATGTTAAGCCTCAGTCGCGAGTGGAATTAATTAAAAAGTGCAGCGAGGACCACGCCGAACGAAAAACGATGGGCGCATGCGTAGCGTGCTGAAATGACGTCTTCCCAGCGAGCCTGTTGATGTGGTGGACAGTTGAGAGTTGTCTGCGCTGGATATGCCGTCCCTGGACTGAGATTTTTTGGGCAACGTCTCGCACAAACGGGAGGAAGATTTCGCCGGTGAGTCCGGAACCGAGCTCTCACCGCTGTTAGCTCCCGCTGGTATTTCAAAGTCTTGTGCCTCGTAGTCAGATTGGTCTGAGCAATCGCCCGGCCGCTCCTCGTAATTGTACTCGAAACCAGTCATCTCCGAAACATATAGGGCCTTACCACCAAACTGACGCTCTAGGGCGAGGGTGCTAAGGAAGCGGTGCTTCCGGTTGGCCGACCGGAAGCTGAAATCGTACCATTTGTCTCGCGACTCACTATAGATGCGTAGTGAGTTCTTGATGGTGTGTCCAAACATCTTTCCGTCCCTCACGTTTACCACGCGACACCGGTCCAGGAAAATGCGACCCTTGTAGATGAAGTGACTGCGCTTGATTATATCACGTTTGCAGTAGACCAGCTGATTATCAAATAGGAACAGAGTGTAGCTGCTGTTCCAAAGATTCTGCTTTTGGCGTGTAGCATCTACTTGCAGGAAGAAGCGAGCACTGTGCAAGTGCAGCGGGGGTCCCTTAAAGTTCTGGAAGCTGGCCTGGTGCCTCGCAATTGTTTCGCTGTGACGTTTTCCCTCATTGACCGCCTCTGTGATGCCGCGCATCGCCTCCAGCGCCAAATTGACAGTGTGCTGGGAGTCAGGTATGTCCACTTCAAAGACGTCGAGCTGTTCATACTTAGCGGCCGCTGGCTTGGCGCCACCATCTACCTCATCCGCTTTTTCCAGGGCCGACTTAATAATCTCGTTGAGGTGCAGGGGATAGCGGCAGATGCGTTGCACTGGTGCCAGAAGGTGGGCGGAGAGCGGAAGCTCGGCTAGGTTCTCCGATTCGCGGCAGCTAGAAATATTTTAGTTAGTACACGATGTTCATTCAAGATTTTCAATTAACTCACTTCTCCAAAATAGTGCGGGCGTCTTTTACACGGTCGTAAGTCTCGAGTTCGATTAGGGCTCGAGGATAGGCGTTGCAGTAGGTGGAGTAGCATAGAAAACCTTTGTGCTGAAAAATTATAATTTATGTGTAAAGGTTTTTACTAAGTATTTAAATCAAAGTCTTCTTACCATGTTGAGAAAAACCTTAGCAATCTGATTTTGTTCGATTCCGCGTCGCAAGGCCTCTAGAAACTTTCGCTGGAACTTGTAAATGGCCATTATGTTGGAAAATATCAGGCGAATACTGTTCGGCGAGAATATATCGATGCGCTTGCTCATGGCTGGCAGATACCTAAAGAGGACCACAAATTAAAAAATGCTAACTATTGTCCTCCAGGACTCGGTCTCTTACCCATCACAAATGGATGCCAGCAGTTTGACGTAATTGACCTCCGTATCGAGCAGTTCGCGAACGGCACTTCGGCGCAGGATAGTGTTGTGGTCCAGCTGGGCAATTGGATCGGAACTAGGAAGGGTTAGCGGGGTTGGTGGCGACTCAATGACAATAAGGGTGACGTTGCTTTGGTCCGTGGTCACAGTAACGTCTGCGTCCTCGGCGTACGCAGCCACAGGAAGAGGAATAGAGCCCTCCTCTGCAGGAGCTGTTGCATCCTCAGCCTCAGCCACGGCAGCCCTATGCTCGTTAAAGAAAATATCCGTCTCAGGACAGTGAATAATGCGCACGAATTCCTTGGGGAACCAGCCCAGCTCGGGGTCCAATATGTCTTCCACGAGATTTGTTTCCTCCTTCTTAATGCGGCCGAACCACCAGGGTCCAACTTCCTTGCGCAATATTTCAATGAGCATTCCCCGTTCCAGCCCCAGTTCTTGGGGACCGCCGGCCGTGAAGTTGTAAAGCACTTCCGCATAGATGGTCGGGTAGTAGTTGACAGCTGTGGATCAAGGGGAAGCCGCATTAGTAAAGGCCAGTTCAATTAAATTGGGTTGTTTCCAACCGCAGCCATAAACTTACCTTCCTCGTTTGACGCTACGCTGTCACTGTCGCTATCCTCAAGATCTGGGCGTCCCATGCCATATGACTCTAGACCATTGGGTTGGCTAAGAGATCGCGTGGGCAGGGATTCCGGAGCTTCGCGTTCCACTTTATCGGACTCTCCCATATTGAGATGCCTGGCGTTTTTGGTTCGCACAATAAAGGGTCCGAGGATGCTGCTTGTCTTGGCCGAATTGGTTCGACGTATTGTTCGCTTCTTAGAGTCCACGAAACCCGTCGAGCCCTTGGTAGAAACAGGAGCGGCCCCTTCTTTCTGGACGCCGACAGCCAGGGCACGGGAGTGTTCATCCTGCTCAAGCTCGATCTGAATGCCCGAGTCGCCGGAATTGCACTTGTCTTTCCGGTTGTACTTCGTCTTACGACGCTCTTTGGATGTGCGCCAGATGAGGGGCCCGAATCGGTATTTTCCGGAGCTGGCGTCTCCACCTTCTGCTACAGGTTCGCTAGCTGGCATCGTCGTCGACGGAGCTGTAATGGATACAGTCGGTGTTGTTGGCGACGTCTTGGTCTTTGGCGGATTGCTGCCTGCTGCCGCCGGCGACAGCGGAGAGATGTGCATTTGATTCTTGCTGTTGAAGTTGTTCAGGGTGCGCTTAAATATCTGCAAGACGCCCAGGCCTACGCCTCCGCTTCCGCCGCTGTTGCCCGAGACCGCCACATCTGTGCTTTCAACTGGCTTCTGTGGCGGCGGCTCTGAGAGCGGTTCTGACAGCGTGGGACTGGAGACAGCCTTCATTTGCTGGGACTGCGGGAAAGGCAGGAGAAAGGGAAAAAAAGGAGTTGCATTATTGACCTGTTTGTATTTAATATCAATATCTATATATATTCATCGATAAACGGCCCTGGCCCTAGCCCATGCCAGAGCTGCAGCCGTGCTACTAACGTTTTCGTAGTGCTTCGACTTAAGCGGTACGCGGCTCCTCACGAGAAACCACAATTATTTTGCAGCTTTGTTTATGCCTGCGTATCGGCCAGGGCTCGGATTATAAATCTATCAACAATGATACAACAATCATGCGGCTTGAATTGTATGAATAATTTGTCACGCGAATTTCAATGGAAATGGTACGCGAATGGGTCGGTCAAGGGATCTCGTCAATGTCACTATGACGAAGAGTTCCTTCTAACATAATTGCCAGATTTCAAGAGGCTTTTGGGGAACAGACACAAACATGTGAGCAGTTTGTTGGGACTTCTGTATAAACCCTGTTATAGATGTCTCCAGTTTTATCGGGTTTCACTTTTAGTTTGGCAATAAAATTGATAAAAGAAGCAAATGTGTGTGCTCAGCGTGTGTCAGGGGTTGTGATCGTACGTGGGCGACCGTGCTGGCGAGGCATGGCCAAAATACCAGAACTTATCAGTGCACCACTATCGCAAGCACCACTCAGTGATAACATAATGACCTGGAGAAGGCGAGGTTTCCATCTGTAGCGGCGCTCGCCGGGCATGATATCGTCGGCGGGTGGCACGCTGAAATCCACCCGCCCCCTGGCGGATTGCGACACACTTCCAGGGGCGCCCGTGTCGAAGTCCCAGAACTTAATCAGTCCATAGGTGTCCATGAGCGTGGGTATTATCAGCTTCTTCATAGCGCCCTCTCGGTTCTGCGGACCGGTTCGGCGGAACTTCCGCGAGCAGCGCTGGCAGGTGTAACCGGGCGAAGCGATAACTAATAACTGATTGGCCGCAATTGCCGGCAGCGAGACTTGCAAATGTGAAATGCGAGCACTGACGAGAGTGCTGGTGTCGTCGCCCGGTCGTGAGTGGGCAGCCAACCGACCTCTTGTAGTGGGCTATAGCCCATTAAGGGACAAAAGGGCGTTGAGATCAACTCTATCTACGCGCTCCATTGTCAGCAGTCTGGATTGAAGTGGTTTGATTAGATTAGCGCAGGGATGTCATAGCACGAGCCGATGCCACTTGGCGCATCTGCTGTCCGCCTTTTGTTGCAAGTGGCCGCGTCGACTTATTGTCTGCGACCTCGCGACAGCCCGATGCCTTGGCCAATGTCAATCTGCAGTCGAAATGTTTTGTCTTGCGTGATTAGTTTTTGCCGCCAGATCACCTAAACGGTACAAAGGCCCTGGTACAATAGCGGGATGCTAGGAGACCTTTAAGGGAGCAACTTAATCAACTGGGCTCTTTAGTAATTAAGAAAGCGTTGGTGGTGGCATTTAGCCATCAGCAATGATTTATTGTGCAATTCCTCTTCAATCTATACATATATCCCAAGAGTGAGTCCACAGTGACATTTGTAAATTATGTTTTACTGCGTTCGGAAGAACTGAATATGATGTCAGTGATACCAAATCATCACCTCATGTGTTCAACGTAAAAACATTTAAAGTTTTATTTATGAGCGCAATGAACCTGAACAAGAGTGAGTGTAAACAGAAGACAGGGAAACGGTTTGGATAAGCCTTTAATGCGGATACACTCGACGGCACTAGACGACTAGCACAGTCCTAGGCTGAAGTGATTTAAAAACACATTTCAACAGCATTTGCTCAGGGAAAACATTAGGGACTTGAGCGTACAGGACTTAACGCTGGCTGAGGATGTTGGAAAATTGAAAAGTACGGGAAAAACCGACTCAGCCGGAAACATGTGTTTTACCCGCGTCAACCGTTAATTACACCATGAATTTAATGAGCTGTCACGAACCCCAGTTCTAGCGTCCTTGAGGTGTTCTCAGTGCTGTTGCTATATCCCTCCAAGTTGGTGGCCACAAAATTAAATTGGCAAACGTGTCGCAGCGCTCAATGCCCCCTGTTGCTGAGATCAAATTTCGTAGTCATCCTCGGCGTTTGATAATCCTTCACGGGCTTCAGTAGCGCCCAGTCAACCACGACACCCAACTCGCTGCGGATGCGGTTGCCATGGACGACTTGTCAGCAGCAGAGTGGGCCGCTCATTGATTGGGGGAAGAAGTAAGAAAGTCCCTATCGTTATGAACGGTTGTATGTTTTGCGGTTGCAACGTTGATAGTTTGTAATGAGATCCGCGTCATTGAAAAATTTCTTACATAAAATCATATAAACGTCTTAGGGAGCAATGTAATCAGTCTATTGAACTCTCTACCACCTTGCTGCCTGTATTGGACACGGGGGTCTGGAGGGTCTCGCAAATGCACCCCAGAGAAAGTTTGAGCACATGGACTGCTTTTGCTGCCCTGTATGCCAGCATTAACCAGTCATAAAATTGAGTTTAATTAACTGAGCTTCGGCTGTAAAACTTTTAAGGGTTCAAGTTGAATGCTCGCCGCTATTGACTAAGTTTCAGCAGATGCAGATCATTAAAGACTGCGTACGTTTTATGGGGGAGCTTTACAGCCCCCTCGCTACTTTATATCTGAGGACGCCGAGAACATGGTGATAAACTTCAACTGCAGTCGAAACTCTGCCACCCCTAAAAGCATTTGGAGTGCATCATGTTCCCTCACTCCCCAACGCCCCCGGTAGAATGTTCTTGGCCTTCATCCCGAGCAAATGTTCATGACCTCAGCCTTCTTCTTCGATTCTTGTACAAGAGCAGCGTGTGACAAAAACTAAACATTTGTATACAAATAGCAGCTGTCGAAACCGGTCGACCGAAATAAATCAATTTTAATTCTGAGCCCATAATGCGGGGCAGGAACAACGGCAGCTGTCCTCGTAACGCGATACCATCAAAATCCTCCAGATAGTTCTTGTAAGCGCAAATACACGCGATAGGTTCGTAGAAAACATGCACCCATATGTCAATATTAGCGTATCCCAAGAAGTTTAACAAACGTTTTGTGATATTCCAACGTTGAGAACGTTCCCCAAATTGTTAGAAATTGGTTCCCTAAAAATAAATATCCTAAAACGGAAAGTTATACTACTTACCAGACCCACAGCGAAGCTACTGTTTGATCTTATTCCAGAGTTTCCAGTTTTTGGCATTCTGAAATGATACAAAATAAAATGATGTTCAGTACCGCGGTAAATTCTGTCAAATTTAGCGCCGTTGACTATAGTCTATCAGGTAGGTCGGCCCTGCGGAAGGCCTTCTGAGATTTATGTTCGCTCATTAGTCGGCGGCAAAGGGGTTCAGTTTGCAAAGCAATTTAAAAATTTCATGGAAAACTGGTTCCTCCGTGGCCTAACGTTACGCCACTTGGGATAGGCACTACTTTTGCGTGTGAAAATGTGGCTGCGACGCCGCTCGGTAGTTGGTGCAGGTATGTTTTAGAACTCAAAAAGCAAGTGGCTCGGAAAATGCTGGAAAAGGATTTTCTTACTGCGTCAGAAGGTTAGTCTCGGCAGGCAGTGCGAAACGAATGCAAAGTAAACTTGGCCAATTCCATTTCCGTATGCTTATTGTAAGCAAACACCATAAATTCTGGGAATTCCATCCATACAAAGAAAACAAACATGCCAAGAAGGACCCTAAAAGGCCAGGAAAGGCCCGCGATGATGCAGGGGTGGGGATTTAAGAATCAACAGGACACCCTCGCACGCGGAGAGAGCAGAAGGCGAAGGAAGCGGGAAATGTAAGGAGCACATAGTCTGCGCATGCGGTGTCTTTCCTTTTTTTCTTTGCCATTACTTAGGGCCGTTTTCCCTTCCCTTTGGCCGCTCCTTGCTCGAGGTCCCTTCGAATGAGGTGCAGAGCAACAGCAGGCCATGGGCATTTTGCGTGCTCGCTACAAAAAACGGATTAAATCTGGGATGCGTGATGGAATGCAGTGGGCGGCCAGATAGCGAGGAAGAGCACCGTAAAGTTTTACTTCCTTTGATGTGCAGCTCAAGGAGAGTGATTGAGCCTTTTTCATACAATGATCCCCGTCTTCAGTGCTCTAGTTTCGTATCAACTAGTTCTGGATAAACTAGCTCACCTTTGCAACGTCGTATAACGTCGACCATCCATGCCATATTGTGATGATCTCACACTGTAACTTTTCATCGTGTTTTTTATGTTCATGTTGGATTTGATGCCAATTTTTGTCACTTTGCTGCGCTTAACAGTTGCCGCACCAGGCGACTCGAACTGGGGCACACTAAACTGAGTTAAGCTTGACCGCACGTGATATGTAACCATAATCAGACTTTTGCACTGTTTAAAGATAGCGAAATTCACTAGCTAAATAGCATTCCATATGTTCCCGATGTAGTGTCAAAAGACTCTTGCTGAACGTGACCGCTCGGTTCGTTGTGCAGGGGTAGACTGATCCTCGCTAAGCAGATGCTCGTTGCACTCAACCTCACTCTACAGACAAGCAGTCGTTGAGCCTACAAAATAAACTAAGGGAAGGACTTTGAGTGAGTTTGGCCTGCATATAGCAGGAATGCAGTTGCGATGGTGGATGTTTAAGCAGTACTACTGAGACCAGTCATCCACAGCGACAGCTGCTTTTATAAGTACATCCCTAAGCGGACAGCATCATTTGTATACCCATTACTCGTAGAGTAAAAGGGAATGTTGTATTCACCCTTTTGAGTGACATTTAATGCAAAATACGGTCTTCAGGAATATTCTACACTATCTAGACTTCTACAAATCGTAATATGTTGCGATTTTGATAAAAATCAGACGATTTTTATCGGGATAGTTTTAATTGTAAGGGTATGTAAACGTCGGCTTTGGCTAACCTAGCTTTAAAAATTGGCTCGTTTTCAGCTGCTGCTGTGATCTTGCCCCAAATAAGAAAAAAATGCTCAAAAGTGGCAGGTCCACTCTAAAGGATAATGGTGATTCAGTGAAGAAGGAACTAAAAACTAAGGAACATCTGCCGCTGAATGAAACCGGTTTCGAGTCCTTTCGGCTCGTCTTTTGTATTCTATCCCACTCCCCTATGGCGTGTGGCTTACAATACTTTGTGAAAACGTGATATATCAGCTGGTAATGAGAATCATCACCGTGCTAAGGTCTTGCGCACAGTTGTTCTGACAAGTAGTCTTCCTTATGCCCACATACAAAACTTTGAAATATCATTTTGCCAAGACTAAAAATTAAATCAATGTTTCGTTGAACCAAAAACAATAAGCTGAGATTGAGTATTTTCTTCAAGCCGTCTGAGATTTTCCACCACCACTGCTCATGCGTGTTTGTATATTGAAAGCTGATATGGGACCGGAAATACAACAGGCGCCTCTTAAAAGGAACTACGATTGAGGGGAAAAGAAACAGGAAGTTCTGTAACTCCGCGGGTTTAGGGTCTTCTGTTTTTTGATTAGGAAGCAGGTGATGAGATTAAAAAATTCAATGTAAAGATACTTATAAAATTTGAAGGCCAACTCAAACATGTTCCCAATGGGAAAATTTGCATGTTCCCGGTTTTTTTTCAATGTATCTCAAGGTTGCTGAACGGCCATTAAATAGTTCAGCGAGGAACTGGCATATTGAATGGGAGCTTTAAGTGTGTAGCTGGTCAAAATGCAAGGTGTAAGGCACCGGCAGATGCAGCACTGGAACTGCAACTCAAATTTAAACCGGTTTCTGCGAGTCGGACAAGCGAATGTTGTGCACAGGCAGGCAGGTACGTTGCAAGCGAAGAGTTGGGGTCATTTATGGGCACTACCTGTGCAGAATAGTCGCAGAATAGTATTCGCAATAATAGCAAGCTGGGCGGTAGAACAATGTCTTATCACTTGCACTTTTTAGAGAACCGTTTGTTGAGTGTACCCGCATCCAATATACATCTAATTAATTTAAAATCGGATGCATTCCAATGTGTTACAACGCGCATTCTTTACTAAGTAATCAACAACAAAAAAACCTCTCGTATTTCCTTATGAGGGAATCGCATCATAGAACAATCTACGCAATTCATAAGACAGAACTCACACGTCGTGGTCTCCTGTAATTATTGGGCTAACAAGAATTGTTTGGCTAACAGTACTATAAACATGCCGCCAAACAGTTGCTTGACAAGTGACAATAAAAAGGAGAGGCAGTCTTCTCAAGAAATCGCTGCGCAACGGGAAAATGAAAACGAATTCATACGAACCCTCGTAAAAAGACCATTGTTTTCTTATCCAGCCAGCAGTGAGATGTTCTTTCTGACTTGATATCAAAGAATGTAATACAGGTTTCTTGCTGGGATTAAATTCTTAAATAGATGGACGGTGAGCGATATTACTCTTGGCATCCGAAGTATTTCCATGAATGGATGAAATATACAGATCTCATAAAATGAGTAAATTGAGCATTGACTAGGTATTCATGCAAATTGTATTCACAAAAAAAATGTCACTAAGACAGAGAATCAGTGTGAGCATATGGAAGCCGCCTCATCCACACAGAAATGCGGAGTTTTCGAACGCACGAATGAACTGCATTACGGATGCGAGTAGGAAGGTAATCTGCGTGTGCATATTTATAACATACAACTTGCAGTGGGAGGAAACTTGGATGCCGCTTCAATTGAAAACGGGCCGACAGAAATGGAAGTAAAGGGGCAGCGGCCCCGCGTAGTGAAATTATTCAGAAATAATGAATCGGAGTGAAGGAGGCACAGCTGCTGTATCATTCCTGCAAGTGCCTCTCATTCCTAAAAGTGAATCAGATCTGAATGTCTCCGCCAGAGCAATTCGTCACCCAACATTTAATCTCTAAAATGGACAGCTTTAAAATATTTAGAGTTTGAGTTTTCTATCCTTGTCATTATGAATAAGAGAAATAAAAATAAAAACAGCGCACAAATTCTGTGCATACAATTTTTAATGAATCTTTAAGAAAGCCCCAGCTCGAAAAAGTATAAATTCTAGCCGACGATGATCATGACTTTGAATTGGGTTTTTGTTACAAATTTTGAATGTATAATTAAAATAAAACGAATCGACGAGACGGAAAAGATAGTCGTTAAGACGGGGTGTCAGTGGTAGAGGAAGTACTGTAATATAAACACTGCGAAAGCACGCATGTGCTTGAGAACCTAGGTGCACATGCGATTCCCAAGTCCGACATGCACTGTTTGCCGATGAACAGAGGGTGTTTGGCCTAGAAGTCGCGACTTTCTATCTTTCGCACGACAAAGTCTTCGAATTTCTAGGTTGACTTACTAAGAATTTGCAGGCTTTAAAGACTGTGTTACAACATTACAGGATTACTAAATACAGCATGTTTTTCAAGAATTATGAAATGTTAGGCTGAAAAGTAAATAATATTTTTATATTTGTGGTTAATGACATAACAGATCGATATTCAATGCACCCAGATTGGTTGTAGTTTCCGCTTTTTGAGGCTGGGATTTACTGTGATTTGAGTACATACAAACATATACGATTTGAATACATATATGATTAACTTTGTGGGCTTTTTACCGCATTACAAACAAATATGGGATTCCATTGCGATTATGCTGCGTTTTACGTAAAAATAAAAGCAAATGAAGGAGAAACTAAACTTCCAAGCGGAATGCGTTAGTATGTCATTAAATAGTTCTCCGTTTAGACTAAATAAAGTAAAATAAAAAATTAATTCGCTTACTGATGACATTCGCAAGTGTTCTATTCAACCAGAAAACTCATGATGAAAAAATCCAAAGAACGGTTCACTGATAAGGAGATTATAGGATGGCAATGGTGTCTGATTAAACATACACAGATAGTGTTAAAGTCGGCGGAGAGAATTTTTCGTTTTAAATAAAGGCAAGATAGGAAGTAACCTGTTTCAAGTCGAAATGTGTATACCCTTACAATTAAAACGAATTTGTATTAGGGCTATTTGTGCTTGGGACTATGGGGATTTCAAAGTTGGTCTGTAAAAGGCAGAGTCCAGTTTGGCGGAAGCAATCGGATTTTAACTTGGCTAGTCGTCTTTTCTTCTCAGCGGTACAAGCATCTGTTGTAAATTTCCATACCCTCTCCAAGGGTATTAAAATCAAGAAATGGGAATTTCAAAGCTCAACTTGCTTATCTCCGCATAGTTGAAATTCAACGCCGTTAAATAAGCTTAGATTA